ACGCTCCATTCCATTTACAATCTAATCTAATGGCCTAGACTAATTCACAACAACAACAAAAATCTAGAGGGACGGAATGGTAATTCTGGGCGCCCTACTTTTTTGTTTATTTTCTGACTATTTGGCACGAAAGTCAAATGAGAGCGAGGAGACATAGGGCTGCAAATGAGCCAAGTCAAGCCAGGTTTTACCCCAGCTCGAGCTCGACTCGTTTATTAACGAGTCGAGTCGAGTTCGAGCTGACTTAGTTACTAAAATCTTGACTCATATTAGATATATTTATTTTGTATGATACATGTGATTAATGTCGAGATAATAATAATAGTTAAGCGTGTTCAATATTAGTTATCATAGTATTGAAGCAATATATGTTACATAATTTCTTTTTAAAATTAAATAAGTCATGTTTGCTCACATAATGTATGTGTTAAACTTCATATAGGGTGAGCTATATAATTTAACAATCATATGAATTGTCCGAATCAAACTCATATAGATCGATTCGCTCATAAGTCGATAATCGAGTTGGCTCTCTAGCACAATGTTGAGAGTTGAGACATTTCATGAGCTCTAAACGAGCCAACTCACAAGTTGAGCTTAACAAGCCACCGAGTCGAGCTAGCTCGCGAGCTCTGTGAGCTGCAGAAGGCTTAGCTCAAGCTCGGCTCATTAGTAAACGAGTTGAGTTTCGAACGAGTTTTTCCCGAGTTGAACGTCGAGTCGCTCGTGAGCAACTTGGCTCATTTGCAGCCCTGCGTTTTGTTAAGTTTCAACCTAACTCAAGCTCAATTGGTAAGACAATGAGGTGAATTCGAGTTCGGCTCGTTTACTAAAATAATGGCCCAATCTATGCTTATTAGCGAGCTCACGAACTCTACTCGAGTTTGACTCACCAATAAGCTGGCAAGCTCGACTCGATCTCCACTCATTTATGACTATAAATGGTAGAGACACGAAACTAAACTCTAAAATATTTTTTAAATTCAAGGATCATATTTTGGTATCACTAATTGATCACTTGTTTATATACTAGTTCATCATGAGCTCTGTTGATATCATATTTAGATCATAAATTTTAGGACTTTGCTACGGTGACATGCATGTCACCGTAACTTTCACTTTTAGGTCGACCTTATATAGGATTAGGTCGACCTAATATGTCGTTTTAGTTTTGTGAGGTTCAACGACGCGGTTGACCTTTTATAGCAAATGGTCAACCTCTTTGGGAAGCGAACAGAATGAAAGGTCTATCCAAATACCTCATAGACCGACCATTTTCATTAACTGAGGTCGACCGCATAAGTACGAGGTCGACCGCGTGCACACCGTATTCGTATTGGATAAGGATTCCAACACCAGAAAGGTAACCCTAACTTATCTACCACTTAATTCGACACATTCTCGTCCTAAATATCTATAAATACGAATATATGTCACATTCAACGCCACCGAAATTCCGAATTAGGTTTTTTTTTTACGGTTAGAGCTTTTGTGAAGAAGATCATTTGCGGTTGCTGATGTACGTGATTCAAGAGATCGACCACGTGGAAGTTATGAGTCCTTGTTATCATTATTTATGACTGATTCTGTTGGTTTGAAACGTAATTTGTACGAGCAAAAGAACCACCCACATCGACATACATAAGCAAAAAAGACGCAGGGCATAGGTTGATTTTCTTGTATTCGGTCGACCTTGTACCAGATTAGGTCGACCGCAAAACCACCACTTGATCTTCATTTTACGTTAAATGATGATGGATAAATGGATACAACACTTCTCTTCTATCTGGTCGACCTCTTTCTGTAAATGGTCGACCATTTTGTTAATGACCGCCATCAAGTGGTCGACCTATATACCTTTACGTTCGAACATTTTGCTTCTGACGCCAATGAAAAGGGCGACCGATGTTTTATTATAGTCGACCAACAACGATAACTTAAACTACAAACGGTCGACCACTACATTTTAAAGTCGACCGTGATAAGTAATCAGGGTGCCTACATTAGTGTATTCGGCAACCTCACAAAACTGAAACTGCATATTAGGTCGACCTAATCCTTTATAAGATCGACCTAAAAGTGCAAATTAGGTCGACCTAATCCTATATGAGGTCAACCTAAAAGTGCAAGTTACGGTGACATGCATGTCACCATAGGCATACCTTAAATTTTATCTAGTTCAGATCATGTCATTTAATAGTAATTGCTATCTAAGCGATCTACAATAAATACTTTCTTTTTCAAATTACTATGAGACATATTTGCACACACACTTTCTCTTTCAAATTACTATGAGACATATTTGGACACACACTCAAAGTTTTAGACGATAATATGTTATGAAATATATGATATAATAAACACATGTATTATCAACAAGCCGACTCATAATATGTCAAAAAAAACAAGCCTGCTCATAAGCTATACATCGATCACTAATAAGCAGCTAGTCGAGATAGCTCGCTAGCACACTATAGAGTCAACTTACACATTTTTGAATTGATCAATGAGCCTCCAAATCGAACTGATTTGTAAGCCTTAGAAGCGGAACAAGGTTTAATTTAGATTTAATTTATTAGTAAACAAGCTAAGCTTTAAACAAGTTTTTTTCTGAGTGAAACTATGAAAGGACGAGACTGTTGTTACAATTGATAATGTATTGGCTCAATTGCAACCCTATTCCATGGAAATATATTTGTCTTTGGTCTCACACGCTTGTGAAATGCGAAAGTTGTAGCATAGTAGTGCATTTTGGAAGTTAACTCGAGAAGACTTCACTCGCAATTCGAAAATCAGATTCGCCGCGCGCAATTTGCTCATAGTCATTGGGACACACTGTGTTGCTTTCTTTCTCACAAACTGCCATCTTCTTTCTTTCTGTCTCTTTTTCATCACAGCTGTCTATTCTTCACCTTCCATCTCCGCACCGTCATCACCCGCAAAACGCTGAATCCAAGCCAACTGTTATTGACAATGCAACTCTCCCCTTCCCTCTCTAATTATAAAGCTCCCAAAAACAGTCTCCCTTCGCGTTTCCGTTACGCCTAACCAAAATCCACTTCCCCCCCCCCCCCCCCCCCCCCCCCCCCCCATTCGCCAATATTACTTCTTTCTTGTTTTTTAAGTTGACGGAATGACGGTAAACTGTAAAAGTTTAGAAAATTGAACTCTTTTTCTTTTCTTCATTGAACGCTGCATGCAAGTTCAACTCTCCCCTGTCAGGAAAATTTAATGTTGGCTTGAATATTCTGAAAAGAAAATTCATATTTGAATGGCAAAACGATAATAATTGCAGGATAATGAAAGGGCAATTATGGTATGGTGCCCACAGCCCCTTGTGAGCACGAGTTTAAAAATGTTGGACATGGTCAAAGACATTTAAGCGTCTATCAAGAACTAAGATGGGATGACCATTTTGGCTCGGGGTTCAATTTGATGGGATTGATGATCCTATAGTGGTTGAGTTCCTAGTCTTCTGAGAGGCTATCCGGTGATGTCTGGAGATTGGGTTCTCGAAGGTTAGGTTCGAAGGTGATACCAAAGTGATTATTGATAAACTCAACCACGCCAATGACTGCGATAGTCAGGCGGGCGCCATCTTCGAAGAAGTCTTGCGTTTGTTGGCTATGCACACTAGGTTTAATGTGCGATTTGTAGGTCAGAGTAGCAATAGGGGAGCCCATTTGGTGGCTAGAAAGATCCTCTTTTTGTACCCGACTACGTGTCTTTTTTATTTATTTTATGGCCTGGTTAAATTTCAGAATGTACTGATCTCTTTTTTAATCAATATTAAAAATTATCTTTTGTAAGAAAAAATTCTTTAAACGTTTATAATCGTTGAGTGAACATGGTAACATTTTATTTACAAAATTATCATTATACGTCCAATCCACTCCTGATCCAACTGTTCACAACATATTGTGCTGGAAGCCCAATAAATGGATTATGAAAGTGTAGAGCTGTTAATGAACGACACGTCGTCCGATTCGAGAAGAACTCGTTCGACATTCGATTCGTGTTAATCGAGCTGGTTCGCGAACAAACTTCTTAACTAAACGAACCAAACTCGAGTCATACCATGTTGAGCTCGAAAGCTCGCGAACAAGCTCATTAACTGTTTAACATCATAAAATATTGGAATTCATGGCATTTATGTATTGAAAATGGGATGAATGTTGTGTTTTATTTTCTTAGAGACTTTGCTACAGGTTTGAATGTAATTTTGTGCTCATTTCTACCTCCATCTTGAGCTATCATGTTGTCAAAAAAAAAAAAACTTGAGCGGTCATGAACATTTTCTAAGTTGAACTTGATTTTGAACTATTTATGCTTATTTGGAGCTCAAGTTGAGCTCGACCTTTCGTTTTCATAAACGAGCCGTGCTAGAACTTGCATATTGAAACTCGTGACGAACTCGAACCGAACTCGAGCTTGGAATTTTAACGAGCTGACCCCAAACTATGGCAAAGTTCGGTTCGACTCGGATCATTAACCGCACTATAAAAGTGGTACCGGAGATGATAATTTATAACAGCTAGTTTAAATGATGATTTGATCAATCCATTTGTTAAAGACAAAAAAGCAATGTTGTCAGAACCGAACCGGAGCATGACCCGGTAATGTGAACGGCTCGCACTTTAATGGTCTAACCGGTATTAGACCGTTAAAAAACCGTTAGAGAACCAGTACCTTATAAATAATAATAATATCATAAGTAGAAAATACATAGATAATAATTTAACATTTCAAGGACTGCAACAAGGTAGTATTTAGTAATATTACATTTATATATATACTCATTAACAAAACCCTACCATAACCTAGAGAGCCGCCCTTCCCCCTTTTTATTCTTATTCTTCTCTCTTCTCTCTTCTCTCTTCTCTCTTCTGCTTTCTTCTTATCCGCTGCTTCTTTTTCTCTTCTTTCTTCCTCTTCTTCTTCCCATTCAAGTTTTTTCTCCTGCCGCAGTGGAGGACGCCAGCAGTCAGGAGCGCCGGCAAATGGGGGCGCTGACAGTAAGTAGCGCCGGCAATGGGGGCGCCAGCTCCCGCGTCTTCTCCGACGGCTGCTACTCCTTCCTCCGCTCCTCCAACCGCAGCACCGTCGCTACGCCACCAGCAGCAGCGGTGACTCCAGTCAGCTCTCCTCCAGCTGCAGTTCCAGTCAGTTCTCCTCCGCCTACAGCGGCTACTGCTCCTCCTACTCCTGCTTCGTCGCCGCCGCTACGCCTACCGCTTCTCCTCCTGCTGCCGATGTCCCGGCACCGGCTCCCAGCAAGAAGTCGAAGAAGGAGAGCGGATCTCCGGCTCCGTCGCCTTCATTGTCGAGCCCTCCCGCTCCTCCTGTCGGCGCCCCCGGACCTAGCGCTGAAGCTAACGCCCCTGGTCCCGTCGTTGCCGATGAGATAAGCCGTTTGAAATTTTGATTGTGTGCTCAGATATGGAAATAGGAATAGTAGGTAGTGCGGAATTCGACGGCGAGCACCTCACTGATAGATCAGATCTAGTAAGGTATAGATAGGGATTAGGAAATCTCTGTGTTTGTAGTGATAGATTCGTGGAGATCTGACTGAAACCTCGTGAATTTTGACCCAATGATTAATTGTCCCCTGAAAAATCAGAGAACGCGGTGTGCTTAATCGATTATATATGTGTTTATGCAGAGTGGTGCAGAGAGCTCGAGGAGTGTGCAGAAGATGATGATCGGAGGGTTGGCCGCACTTGTTATTGCTGCCGTTGCATTTTAGTGCGGAGCCGATGGAGCTGTGATGGTTCGATTCAGATATTTGATTCATTTCCACGGGGGTTTGATATTCGAATCTAGTCTCTCAACACATTCATTTCGGACTCACTTTGTTGACATTTTGATTTGTTTCTGTTCTAATTTCTATCTTTGTCGGTCGCCACACATACCTTTGTAATTTACAGGTTAGTGACACAAATATATATTTTTTTAATTTACCATCAATATTGTGTATTACAATGTATTTACATAGTTATTGTGTTTTTTGTGTAGATTTAGAGGCAGGGCCACTAGAGACTAAGGTGGAGCCGCGTTTTGAAAATTTTCACCCAGTCCGAGGTGTTGGCGCTTGAGTCTCCAGCGCCCCGCCTTCACCTCTCATTTATTTTAAAGCGCCGCAGGCCTCTCCTTTCTTATCTTCTTCTTCCTCCCCCCACACCACACTCCTCCCAAACCAGACCACGTCGTCGTCGCAAGCAACCCCGCGCGCAGTCACAGGTGCTACCACCGCAGACTGAGGCGCCACCTCTGCAGACAGAAGCGTGACAGCCTGAGTTCGACGGAGATGTCGTCCGACGAAGACGAAGCAGTCACCGATAGAGGCAGGGGGATACGCTGACGAGGTCGTGGAGGCGGTGACCGTTTTTGGGTGAGAGTCTCGCCGGCGACGGGTTTTTTTGTTAATTAATACTTATCATTCTTTTTAATTAATGTTTTTGTTGCTTTGCTTTTGCAGTTCCCAGGCTTATGGACCCTTATTCGATGAGACTACTGCCGACGACAATTGATCCAGCTCCGGTCGATCCGGTATTTCTTTGGGGACATAGCCAACATTGTATCGACTCAGTTTGGGCAAATGAGGTAAGTATTTGACAATTATTCATGTAAAGTTAATTAGCTAGTTAGATTATATTATTTTAGTTGGTGAACTGAACTGTACTGAAATTATATTAGGATTACGTATCATTTTTTTTAAATTAGTATAATTTGAGATTAGATTAGATAGATTAGAATTTATCAGGTGAAATTAGAATTATTACAAATGAAATTGAATTAATATAAGTTTTGTGCATTATAGGCTGGTGATTGATCTTACTATGTTCGAGGTATGACCAATTTAGTAACGTACCATGAGCGTTATCAGCCATATCTTGAAGCGGCTGGCTTGTCTAGTGTTTTGCACCTGGTCCCTATTAACTCTGATTCGAGTTTGATTACTACACTCGTAGAGTGGTAGCGACCCGAGTCGTCGATCTTCCATTTATCGTTTGGTGAGGTCACGATCACGTTAGAGGACTTTGTGACACTGTCCGGTCTGGCGATCAACGGTGATGCCGTCGTAGTTGACATACCGGATGAGGAGTGACCGACGATAAGTTTGAGACTGTTAGGACGGGTTCCGGCTGATCTTTCAGGCGATGTCGGTGTCGTTAGGACTGTTTGGCTGAGGGCTGAATTCAGTCATCTGCCAAGAAATGCATCTAGGAGGTTATAGAGCAGTTTGCACGAGCTTATGCTCTTTCTCTGATGGGAGGTGTATTGTTCCCAGATCGGTCTAGAGCTACGGTGCACCTACATTACCTACTTTTGATTGAGCATTGGCAAAGAGCTAGATGGTTCGCCTGGGGAGAAGCTGTTTTATCCTACCTGTACCATGAGATGGGTAGGTCGGCTTTGCATATTACGCATTCCTTCACTTCTCTAGGCGGTGACCTTGGTGGATGGAACGCCCTACTGCAGCTCTGGGCGTGGGAGTGATTCCTACATCTGACACCGTGACATTCAGAGACGAGGGTGCAGATTTTCGAGGATGCATTCCCATGTGGTCTTCGATGGCTTCCGGCCAACACTCGTCAGTATGGTGACCAGCTATTCCAGTACAAGCTGTGGTTTGACGAGATGTACACCATGGTGGTTAGTATATAACATTTCATTTTATAAAATAGTTTTCATTTGTTTGTTTTAGATTTAGGGATAATAACGTGACCATTTTTTTGTGTAGTGGCAACCTTATGTTGAGAGAGCACTTCATCTCAGAGGTAGTGTGATACAGTCTGAGACGTTTCGAGCAGTAGTGCCACTTATCTGCTTTTCATCAGTGATGTGGCACCATCCTAACCGCGTGCTCCGACAGTTTGGCATGTGGCAGCATGAGCCTCTCATCCGCCACATTCTGAGGCTGAGGTTTGGTTTTTTCTTTGTCAGATTACTCGTAGGCTGGGCAGCAGTTGGTACACGCCTACCGAGAGTCTATTGCTTTCTGGAATCGTCGACAAGAGTTCGTAGCGACGGCTCCATACAGTGATGAGGTTTTAGCCTACCACTCGGAGCATATGGAGTGGTATCGAGATGTCACCAGATGTTCAGGCACACGGAGAGGAGTTGCAGCGGAGGCATTGGTTAGTTATTTGTTTGCTTAATATTTTTTTGTATTTGTCTTGAATTTCTTAACTGTGTGAAATTTCTGATATTTCAATTTAAATTTTAGTACGAAACTTTGGAGCATGTTGAGTTGAGTTTACGTGACGGAGTACAGGCTGGAGGGATGTCCACCGACTAGTGTGAGGAGTTGGCCAACATGATGGCATCAGGGGTTGCTACTTTAGGTTTGGAGCGGCGCAGACACCCTGATCTCACAGTACCTGTACAACCAGCTTATGATCAGCCCGTCATGGCTGCCTGGCCAGAGCGTACTGATCCGACACCGGACTGGGTCTTCTTGGAGTCACAGTTCAAACATGAGCAAATGCCCCGTAGGCAGCGACTTGAGCATCGTGATGTACCTAACCCAGTCTGGATTTCAGATCGACAGCGATCACGGTCCGTCCGGCTTACTACGACCTTCCAGTTTAATCCGCTGTTTCAGCCAAGCACGTATTCTGGACATTGGAGCGGCGCTACTTCTTCAGGATTTCAGGCAAGACCGTAGGCCTTTCAGCCTCCTCCTCAGCCGCAGTTTCAGACGAATCCTTCTTCGAGCTTTCTGTCTCTGCCTCGGCCGCAGTTTCAGTCAGATCCTTCTTCGAGCTTTTCATCCACCAGAGGATAGCTTTCATAGCCGCAGCATGCTACGATGCGAGGCGGATACATGACCTCAGGTGGTGATACTAAAGCAGCCTCGTCTCCCAACCCGTGGGACGCTCTAGAGGGTGATGCGACCTTTCAGGAGATGATGTGAATTTATGAGCAGCATCTTCAGTCTCAGCAGGATGGTGGCGGTGTACCTGAGGAGCAGATTTAGTCTCAGCAGGATGATATGTTCGGTACAAAGGATCAGGATGGTGGTGTCGAGAGAGATCAACCCCAAAAGTATGATGGTAGGCCTCCACGTAACAAGGTGCCTGCGAGGTGTGGTACTGGCGGCCATCTAGTGGTGGAGCATGGTGGCCGTCGTGGTGGTCGTTAGTGAGACTATTATTTTTGTTATGATATTTTTATGTACTTCTTTGAGACTATTATGTGGACTATTTTTAACTTCATGTATTATGTTATTAACGATAAATACTAGGAACAACAAATAACATAACTCCATGTGTAGTTTTTTATTTGTTGTTCCTAGTATTTATCGTTAATAACATAATAAATGAAGTTAAAAATAGTCCACATAATAGTTTCAAAGAAGTACATAATAATAACATAACATAAATAATAGTCTCACTAACGACCACCATGCTCCACAACTAGATGGCCGCCAGTACCACACCTCGCAGGCACCCTTTTACGTGGAGGCCTACCATCATACTTTTGGGGCTGATCTCCCTCGACACCACCATCCTGATCCTGTGTACCGAACATATCATCCTGCTGAGACTAAATCTGCTCCTCAGGTACACCGCCACCATGCTGCTGAGACTGAAGATGCTGCTCATAATTCCACATCGTCTCCTGAAAGGTCGCATCACCCTCTAGAGCGTCCCACGGGTTGGGAGACGAGGCTGCTCTAGTATCACCACTTGAGACCATGTATCCGCCTCCCATCGTAGCATGTTGCAGTGTATGGAAGCTATCCTCTGGTGGATGGAAGCTCGAAGAAGGATCTGACTGAAACTGCGGCCGAGGCGGAGGCTGAAAGTTCGAAGAAGGATCCGTCTGAAACTTCGGCTGAGGAGGAGGTCGAATGCGGTCCTGCCTGAAATCCTGAAGAAGTAGCGCCGCTCCAATGTCCCGAATACATGCCTGGCTGAAACGGAGGATTAAACTGGAAGGTCGTAGTAGGCCGGACCTACCCATCTCACGGTACAGGTAGGAACAGCTGCTCCCCAGGAGAACCATCTAGCTCTCTGTCAATCCTCAATCAGAAGTAGGTACTGTAGGTGCACCGTAGCTCCATCCGGGAACAATACACCTCCCATCAGAGATAGAGCATAAGCTCGTGCAAACTGCTCTGTAACTTCCTATTATGCATTTCCCAGCAGATGACTAAATTCATCCCTCAGCCAAACAGTCCTAACGACACCGACACCGCCTGAAAGATCAGCCGGAACCTGTCCTAACAGTCTCAAACAGATCGTCGGCCACTCCTCATTTGGTATGTCAGCTACGACGATATCACCGTCGATCGCCAGACCGGACAGTGTCACAACGTCCTCTAATGTGATCGTGACCTTAGCAAATGGTAAATGGAAGGTCGACGACTCGGGTCGCCACCGCTCTACGAGCGCAGTAATCAAACTCGCATCAGAGTTCATAGGGACCAGGTGCAAAATACTAGACAAGCCATTCGCTTCGAGATATGGCTGATAACGCTCATGGTACGTCACTAAATTGGTCGTACCTTGAACATGTTAAGATCGATCACCAACCTATAGTGTAGAAAACTTATATTAATTCAATTTCATTCGTAATAATTCTAGTTTCACCTAATAAATTCTAATCTATCTAATTTAATCTCAAATTATACTAATTTCAAAAAGTTTGATACGTAATCCTAATCTAATTTCAGTACAGTTCAATTCACCAACTCAAAATAATCTAATCTAACTAGCTAATTAACTCTAAATGAATAATTATCAAATACTTACCTCGTTTGCCCAAACGGAGTCGATATGATGTTGGCTCAAAGAAGTACCGGATCGATAAGAGCTGGATCAATTGTCGCCGGCGGTAGTCTCATCAAATAAGGGTCCATAAACCTAGGAACTACAAAAGCAAAGCAACAAAAACATTAATTAAAAAAAATGATGAACATTAATTAAAAAAAAAACCCGCCGCCGCCGACGAGACTCTCACCGCGAAAACGGTCGCCGCCTCCACGACCTCGTCGGCCTCTCCCCCTGCCTCTGCTGGCACTGCTTCGTCTTCGTCGGACGACATCTTCGTCGAACTCAGGCGGTGGCGCTTTTGTCTGCAACGGCGTCGACGCCTCGGTCTGCTGCGGTGGCTCCTGTGACTGCGTCGGGGTTGCTTGCGACAGCGGCGTGGTCTGGTTCGGGAGGAGTGTGGTGTCGGGGGAAGGAAGAAGAAGAAGATAAGAAAGGAGAGGCCAACGACGCTTTAAAATAAATGAGAGGTGAAGGCGGGGATGTTGCAGACTCAAGGGCTAGCGCCTCGGACAGGGTAAAAAATTTCAAAACGCGGCCCCGCCTCTAACTCTACACCAAAACACAATAACTGTGTCAATACGTTTTAATCCGCCATATTGGTGGTAAATTTTTTTTAAAAAAATATTTGAGTCATTAACCCTAGTTTACACTAAGCTTCTTACCCGGCAGTTTGCCGGAGTTTATTTATAATTTATATTAATTAACTTATTTATATGTTTAAATCATTTTGGATCTTCTATTGTTCTTCATTCATAACAGAGTTTGTAGTATGTCTATATTAAAAATTTCAATATTTAGCACTCACTTGTGTGGCTTCGGTTTTCTAATAATAAATTATGTCGATGTCGTGTCCCATTTAGAACTTATGTCAAAATTTGTCAATCGAAACACTAATATTTAGCGTACGTCAACCTGAATTCCCCCCCATATATATATAGTTCAACCTAGCTAGTGTGCGCCAAGAGTACGCTATACTCTTGTGTTCACACTATCATACACCATTAAGTTTTACTATTTAGACCCCGAATTAACCAGAGTTTTTTAGGGCATGATACCATACCCTAACCTCTAATAGGTGAACTCCAGTCCCTAATTCTCTAACCTCTAATTTGTGGGCATACTTCGTCATACCGTCATACCTATCTTCTATCGTATTTTGAGTAAAATCAAAAGTATAGTATACCTTGATATTTTATATCTATATATATATATATATATATATATATATATATATATATATATATATATGGTGACTTCTACGGTGCCCAGGGCAAAACCCGGGTACGGGTACCTTGGCCGATCTTCACCGTTCGTTTTCAATCTCCACGGCTCACGTTTGTTAAACCTAGCTGCGCCACTAAATAACTAAACAAATTACAAAAAGCCTCCTCCGCGTTAAGTTAGTTTTCATCCTAGTCCAACTAACTGCCCCGTTTAAATTAAATGGATTAAGACCCAAACCCAATTGGGTAGACCCACTGCCGCCCAAACCAATTTCCAGTCTCCCTAACCAATTACACGATCCCTATCTCGTCTTGGAGGGACGCCCCTTCACAGTTCCAAGAGAAGCCCCCCATCCACATTCGAAGTAGATTGAATTTCCCAAAAATAATTTGTCTTGTTTCTTCTTCGCCATTGTATTTCCCCTCGCCTATCTCTTTCTAACACGATTACGGCGACCATGTCTATTATTGTGTTCATCGAACTTTTCATTTGGAAAAGAACCCTTGAAAGAGGTTTGCTAACCCTAGGGTTCATGTCACTAGTGCTTTGTCATCTTGTCTTAGCGTTATTGTGATTATATCTCTCGGTGAAATTAAGGTTTCCTGATATGCAGTGTTCGTCTCGCCCAGAGGATTGAGGAAGGAGATGAAGAAGACCTAATTTGATTCGAATCAGATGGAGAGGTCTCCTTAATTTGTGTTTATGTATTAACGCTGCGTTTAGGACTAATTCTAGTTGGACTGGGTCTGATCATTGATTTTTGCAGGCTTTTAAATAACATTCAAACGTGGGCTTGTACATGACCCATGAAATATTCAAAATTGGGCCTGGAACGTGCGAGCCCATTAGTTTTCTCCTGCGGTATCAGCGCCAACCCTAGTTTAACTAGATTTAGTTACCCTAGTTTAACCTACACGAGTTAACATCATCATTGCTACATATCTTCCCAAATCTTCTAACTCTTGACATTCCAGACTCAACCGTCTCCATCACACGTCTCCACACTCAACCCCCACTTTT